GTTTTAAGGCTGCAAACAACCGTGTGGCGGAGGCGAGGACAACGGGCGATTTCTCGCGACCACACGAAACTGTGTGAAATCTCAGCCGCGTATACGACACATCAGAAATGTTGCAACAATATCATCGCGTTATCATATTTATGCTAGCATTAGACACGCGCGCTGTAGATAAAACGAACGCGCGCAACGTCTTCGCGAGAAGAGAGAAAGAAGGCGACCGCTGTTCCGCAAATCAATTTTAACAAAAGTATCAAACGATCGTCTCGTTACACGCATAAAAGGCGGGTCATTTTTTACCGCGCACGGGGCGCATAGCAGCGGACGCGGCGCGTGAAAAAGAAGGAATTATCAATTAAAGTCCCGGGCTTTCTTACTTTGTAAAAAAATGTCTTAATGTAATCCGCGTTCGCGTGTGGCCCCGGGAACGACGAAACTGGTGGCCGCTGGAAGCAATCAAGCGGGTCGGAGGGAAAAGAAACGAGGGCGGAGGAGACAGGGAGGGAGGAGACGGGGACATACAGGCGTAAAGTTTTCGGGAAAAAAATGCTCATTGATGGATAGTTTATCGCGTCCCAGTCCCGCCAATGATTTCTTCCCTAAATCCTGCCTCTCCTCTTCCCCGTCTGTCCCCTCATCCTCGGTCCACCGCACGCATACATACACGCACGCATCGTCTCTCTCCTCTTTTGCTGCACGAGGGTGCCCCCTCCAAGACCGCCTGGACAACAGAGCCTACCTAAATATCGGGGGATCATGCTAAACGGCGGCAGATCAAAGGGACCGACAGAATCCGGTGGCGAGCTATCATAATAATTAGGCTCGCTCGCGCCTCTTTGTATCGGGATAGAAAAGCCGACGTGGAAGGCCGAGAAGAAGAAGCAGAGACGCAGAAGAAGAGGAAGAAAAAGGGCCGCGGACAGACGGACGGTCCGGTTGGTCGAACTGGCCGGGAAGAGCGGTCGGCACCGCTCCTGCCCGCTAAATTGAACTTAAGGGGACTCTAAAAAGATTTTACTGATTTCGGTGAATGAGAGAGAGGTCCCCGCGAGCCTCGCAATCGGCAGGTATACGCGGCCGCCGCCGGGCTTCGCGCCGGTTTGATTGATTCAATAAATGTTTCTCTACGATTCTTTAATTGCCGGAGCGGTATCGCGTGATGTCGTGTATTAGAATTAAATACAGGGTGTCCCCGAAACAAATAGGCACTTTGGACGAGCGTGTTCTCTCTGATCCGTTTGGAGTTCATCTTTCGTAGCGAGAGACGGGAGAGAGCCAATTGTTTCCCGTGTTACGAGTGATTGACAACCAATATTATTATGCCTGTTTCCGAAGAATAAAGTCTCATTCTTCATACATCTCCGAGTGAATTGTGCTTTAAACGGGTTATAGTCTCGAGCATAATCATCACGCCTAAAAATTAAGCGGTTATGAGTGAAAACGTCTAATCAAGTATTCGATAGGAAAATAACTCCAAATTGACGAAAGAATATTTTGTCTCGTGTCATGTGTCTATTACGAATAGCCCACAGAGTGACAGCGGAATTACATGTCTATTCATATTGGTGGAACTCACATGTCTACTCGTTGGTAGGACTCAATACAACAGAAAATTCATAACTGTTAAAATACAACGTAAATAAAGACAAGGCATAAAATTTAAGTACACGGGGAAAATTTTCTCTTAAAATTTATCCTGAAAATCACGTTATCGTGGAACAACGCGACATTTCGAGGAATTTTATGAGTTTTTTTTAATTTTACCGCACATTTTACTAGTAATTATACTTAATATATGTTTTACTGTATAAAATGTATGGTGAAATTTAAGAAAATTCTCATAAAGTTCTCCAAAATACCGCGTTGTCCCACGCACTGAAAAACATTTTCGCTACCGTAGCTAATCACGGTTGGCTAAAAATATTTAGCTATCGCAACTGAATATTAGCTATCCATATATTACAATTGAAATTTAGTTGCCACGTGCAGCTTTTAGCTACGACATTTTCAGGGTAAATTTTAAGATAAAATTCTCTCCGTGTATAAAGAACATTACTTATCCGTTTTGCTCTTTGATACACCCTCTCAATCGTAGAGAGCTGTCGACAGAGAGGAATGTACTCTCGGGTCTCCTCCAGTATTAATTTATCAATATCACAAACACTGTTACGACAGTCACATCTATCCCGCGGGACGTGATTGCCTCCAAGTACTGACACGAGTCTTTGTTCCTGTGATTGTTGTGATTGTTCCTCGTACACGTCGCGTTTACGCGGCATGTATTTTTCAGTTATGCTACTTATGCGAAATAACGACTATTAATCCACGGCAATCTAGATAGGCAGGATGTCGGTAGGATTGGATTACACGTTGCATGCAGTCGCGCACAATTTAGTATCGTCGTGTACTGCTAAGCGCGGTAAATTGGTTGGCGCGATTTATTACAATTATCGGTGTTCACATTACAGGCTCGCGAAATCCGCTTCTGTGAAATTTCGAAGGCACGAAAGCGACTCGTCGCTCGGTGAAAGCAAATTGTTTCTCGGTATTATATAAATTCACATTTGCATCACAAATCGGCAGGTAATATCGATTTACGACGTATAGAAATGACAGAGACGCACCGCGCGCATATATCTGTGAGGTATGTAATGTAAGATAAATTTTCATGCGGCTCTTGCTACGTTTCTTTTATATAATTATGCCAATTAACTTTCATCCGCAATTAATAAGTGAAAGTTTCCTTAATGTTACCCTACTAATAGAGCGGAATCAAATTTGTATTATCAAATATTAATATAATAACGCTCAAGAGTTCCTACAATGTTTAATAACGACCTATATAGTTTTCGTAAAATTGCTTATTTTGTTTTTTTTTATCTTTATCGTCAGTGGAAGTAGATGAACTCGAAAATGTATTCGAGAGACGACACAACGTACGCGTATAACGATCCGTCGGATGCGCCCAGCGCGGAGCGATTCTATATATCGGCTAAAAACCACGAACATGTGGAAGGACAAAAATGACATGCGCCATAGTTCAGTCAGCCATTCAACAGTCTTCGATTCTGTTCTCTTTAAATGGAGTCTGTTCAATGGAAACGTATACGCTCGCTTTTTCTTTATTCGTCAACCCGTACAAAAGATCCCGGCGACAATAAGCCGCAGTCTGGATTGACTAGAATTTCTGTAACTTGCCCGCAAATTTCAATACTCGCATAAGCTCTAACGTTAATTCTGTTAATGAAAGAAGCGCGACAATATATTTGTATTTCATCAATATTATTAATTACTGAAATTAATTGCCTCAGCTTGCAAAAATTTTATGAAATATTGCTAAATAAAGATGAAGCTAAAATTATTTATCATAATTCCATGTGCAAGACACCTAAAGTTCCAGCATTCCTATCTCTACGTGGATTTCGTAGACGGTCATGTTATTCATTTAACATCTCGCGACGAAGTAATAGAAAGAAATGATTAAGACAATTAATTAAAGAAGAATATATAGCGTAAGATTTTCAGTAGCCTTTCGGGCGTAATAGTTTTAAATCTTTGTTACTTAGTAACATTTATAACAGAAGACATCGAGCGATACCAGCTGACGACGAGATTGCCGCAATTACATAGCTAAATCGATTCTCAAATCGGACTGTAGATAACAATCTGAATGTAATAGATATTCCCTTAACGTTGTAATGGGCCAGCAATCGTCCGCGACATTATCTGCGACAGCCATCATTGTCTTCCTTTGACAATTCAGCTATCTCTGATTCTCTGGAGATACTTGCGTTTATTAACGTTTCTGTCTATCGAGAATCCGTTGCATCGCACGAGAAAGAGAGAAAGAGTGTGAGTTTCTCTTTCGTTTTTGCATGTGAAAAGCGAAGTGTGAAAAAGATGACACTCTGATTTTTAAAATTGAATTATGGAATATACATTTTCTTGTACAATATAAATAATTCGCGTTTGTAAACTACATCTCGTGTGCAAGGCGATAATTTTGTTACGTTGCGACTGGCAGGTATAATTTACACGTCGACATTGCCGAGTCGACTGAGCTCCCTGCCCCGCAAATATATTCAGAAAGAAATCCAAAAGTAACTTTATCGTTATTTGTATCGCGGCGCGTACTTGTATTTTATGCTCAAATGACCGCGCGATAACACGGCAAAGTAGAAAGACGCGGATAATAATAGAGGAAGTAACTGACAAACGCAAATTATAGAGATGTTACGCACAATGTATAATGCATAATACCACAGAGGACGAGTCCACGTCGGTTCCTCGCGCGGAGTGCATCGCGCGCTATCGGGCGTATTTGCGCGCCGCCCGCTTCGGAGTCGCCCGTCGTCCCCGCGTGATCGAGACGCGGCCGTTAACATCCCGCCTGATAATCCGTTCCCAAGACCCGCTCGCGGCGGAGACCGAAATCCACGCTCCGGGTGGGACGAAATCACGGTGGGCCCTCGTTAGTCGCCCTCCGCGTCGTGGAGGGTCAGTCCCACGTCATTCTCGAGCGAGAGAACGCGCGGTGTTTCGAAACGAGAGAGCGAGAGAGAGAGAGAGAAAGAGAGGGACGAGCCGGAGGAGGGCGAGTATAGCAGCTACTTCGGGGTAGAATAAAGAGGGAGAGAGGAGGGAGCGGAAGGGGCGAAAGGAAGGAAGGACGGTCGCGCCCGCCGCGACGCTGCGGGATGTTAAGTACGTCTCGTAAAAATTCCATCCCGTAGCGACGACGACGACGGCGGCGGCGGCGGCGGCGTCATTTTGCTATACCGGCTACGTCGGGTTACCGTAGGCGGGATCTGATCTCGGCCGGCCCTCGGGTCCGTCAAAGGGGCGCGTTCTCGCGACGGAGGTGGTACCCGGTACCGTGGTAGCGGCTTCGAAACGTGCGGCTGGTCCCGAACGGCTCCACCGTCCTTGTACGCGTGCGCCGAGCCGGTCGTGAGGAAAGCGCCTGCCCAACGCCGGCGCCGGGGGATCCCCGTCCGCCGTACCATTTCGCGTCACCGGCTTCGACTGGCCTGAGAGGAGGCACCCAGCTGCCTCCTTAGCACCGAAACTCGTTAAACGCCGACGTATTGACGTTTCGCGCGCGTATCTCGCTCGCAGCGGGCACCTCTCAGCATCGCACCGCATCAGGACGCGTGTCTCTCTCTCTTTCTCTCTTTCTTTTTCTGTGTGCTGGTGTTCAGTGAAGATAGCAAACGGAGGAGAACTGAGGTCCGGTCGAGTTTCTACCTTCGACACGAACAGGTGGACATTCGGGAACGAAGAAGCGCTGCGCAGCTCGCTCGCTATGAAGGCCCGGTATCATGATTTAGTGTTCAGCTTCGACCGGACGACGACGGCAGTGCTAGAGTGAAGGAGGAGCCAGGAGTCGACGGAATGACGAATGACGTCTCGTGTCCGTGAGCTGATACTTCACTGCCGAGCTACTTTGTGAAAACAATGCTCCGACGAGCAACGGGAGACGGATCGGGTAGCCCAATGATGTGACTCATGTGTCGGTTCAGGCGCGATGACGGAGCATGCGAGTGCGTTGACAGGTCGTCGATAGCGATCAGTGCGACTGGTTTCGTGACGGTGGCTCGAGTCGACGACTCCCCGCGAAGATTGTCGAGGACTCGAACATGTTGGGCCAGTGAACGGGACTTGATAAACTGGTGCGGTTGATCCTCGTCAACAGTTTCAGGACGTAAGTGCGTTATCGAAAGAATGCGCGGTGCTTGAAGGGCCGAGCTGCCGTGGCCTCGCGACTGGCTGCCAAGAGCCACCGGGCGAGTGTCTCGAGCTTGTTCAGTTTAGCTCCCTCTCATATTCCGCGCGGCATGTGCACCACGGAGATGACGGAATCGTACACGATGTCACCGTCGACAACGGTATCTTCCAGCGCCGCGACGCCCGGCTGCGTGAGCGGCTCGTCGGCGCACCGACGGACGTCGTGCAGAGGCTCGCCGAGTCGAGGGGACGTCCAGGACGACGAGGACGAGATCTCCGTAGGTTGTCCCAGCCCGCTGCCGCTGGTAGTCGCGACGCCCAACACGGAGGACGAGCTGGCCTCCTCCAGGGACGATTACGCCGACCGTCTGAGCCCGAGAAGAACCTATCCGCGAGACTCGATGACGGAGGACGAGGACAGGGATTATTCCCGCAACGGGGATTACAGGATGTCGAACGGAAGAACCGGCAGCAGGACTCGCGAGAGCGGCGATTCGGTGACGACGCTCAGGGACGACGAGGAGGACGAGGAGGAGGAGGAAGAGGTGGACAGCAGGACCAGTAGCAACGGAGCGGCGGCTGCTGGTACCACGGACGACTACTTCAAGCCGCTCAAGCGCCTGAAGATGGTGCAGATGCAGCACTCGGACGAGGAAGACGAGAGGGAACGGGAATCCAACGACCGCGGGGTCAAGTCTTTCAGCATCCTCGACATCCTGTCGCATCGGCCGAAGGCGAAGATCGTCCGTCCCTGGGATACGACGGATTCCGGCCTGAGCCATCAGCACCGTCACCACCTGCAGCAGCAGCATCATCATCATCATCATCATCAGCACCATCTGCATCACCACCATCACCACAGTAGTCATCCGAGTCACGCGACCGGGCCCCGGGATCTCTCGCTGATGGGTATGTCACTCGCGTCCATGTCCGGCTCCATCAGCGAACCGCCCCTCAGCAGCTCCTCGTCGTCCGGAAGGAGCTCCGTGTCGGATTCCGGTAGCCCGGACCCGCTCGCCCATCATCACCATCATCATGCCGCGCTTCATCACGCGGGCATTCATCCCGGCTTGCATCACCCGGCGCTCCAGCAGCCGCAGCAGCAGCAGCTCAAGAGGAAAATGCCGCAGCAGCACGGCTCCCACGCTGGCCAAAACGGCAAGAGGACCACGGGGCAGGGCAGTCCCTTGGACGCGCTCTTCCAAATGACCAGCAAGACTTTCGACGCCGGTGAGCACAGTCAGGGTAAGCACTCGCAGACTTTCACATTCCTCAGACTTCTGCTTGTCATCAAATTTGCAATGTGTCTTGGGAATACGTCCCTGATAAATTATCAAAATAGTTTTCGGGAAAATTCGTCGTGCCAAACTATGATTCTCGAGATATGAATACAATTGTCGTGCCAAACTGATTCTTCAGATGTGAATACATCTTTGCCTGGGAACGAATTTTGTTTGCCCTCTAACGAAATTTCTAACGAAATGTTTATCTATGACTTGTTTAATTTTGAATAAGCAGGTTTGTAAAATCAACTATTAGCCGAATGCTTCAATTGGAGTTTTCCTTGTTTCCCGTATTGCACAATTGTATTGCAATGTGGCGGATAAATAATCCTTAAAAAAAGAAGCGAAAATAAAGAATACTGTGATTCTCATCTTCGTGTCCCATTCGTATCTTCGCAAAAGTAATTGGCTAATGATTTATTAACGATGATAAATGCGAAATTGTTCGAAAATTGATTATCCCACCAGGTGTGATTAAAATAAATGAGAAGAATTAGTTCTTTAATGATGCTTATTTATCTCAATCGCGTTGAACTCCCATTTAGTAATTCCCGCTCAGTAAAATAGTTTTTAACATAGTACATTAAACACGTTGAGCATTCTACATATTTGCAGCGTTCTTACGCGGTACAAGTGTTTTACTTTGCGTGACACAATGCATTCGCGATTGAAGCCAAGCGACGGCAACGTCACCCAACTAAGAAGCGAGCAAAGATAAACAGTTTCGAGCGAGTAATCCTGTCCTTTCGCCTTCGCATTTAATTGCGACATGTAATTTCAATGTTTACGGCGATAAAACACCAATATCTAGTCGCAACATAATCAATTGTGCGATAGAAATGCAAATCGCTCGACGACGCGCTCTGGAATTCCAGCATGCAATGTTAAGATCGGTCAAAATATCGTTACGTCGCGTCTATATTCCGAGAAGTGGGAGAGAATATGCGGTGGATGTTGGTAACACAGAATCGCACGTGATCGGTGAGTTTGAATATCGGCGATAAATACGGATCTCAATTTTGATTGATGCACCTCAGGAAGCGCTCGCCGCATTCGATTCTCTCCAAGGCGGCGCTTTATTTCACTTCCTTACAGCTCTGCGCAGCCTGACGTACGGAACGTTTCGAATTTCGTGGTGTGTTAGGTGGCAGGTGCCAAAAATACGAGTCAGCAAATGCTAATCCGAGCTCGCGCGAACATTTGGGATCCGCAACCTTTCCGGACCTCTACGCCGCGTCGTAAATGACGGGTCACTCGCGAATAATACTCGGTACTGCAATACCAGCGTTTCAATAGACTCGTAATCAATGAATATTAACGCAGTTTCAGACGTAAGGGTGCAAAAAACAGGCTGCGAAGAACATATGAATGCACCATCGGAACAAAACGCGACCTCGGGTATTAAATGCAATGTAATATTGTGTAAGTGTACATTGTTATAATTGGCAGTGATACAGCGATACAAATTATTTCCGATGCTATATCCGACACAGTATTGTACGTATCAATATACTGTGGTCTTGCGAGATTGAATTTGCTCTTTCAACTGCACCCAGCAAAAAGATTTAGTTAGGCTAAACAAATGAGATACGTTGAAATCATACTTCTTTGAATCTACTAAATTTTTCAATACTAAAACGTTTGCTAGATTTGAAGAAATAGGCGAATTCTCTTGGAAATTCCACACTGAGAAAAAAAGAACTGTTCAGTCAAGAAAATATTTCTCGATTCAACTATATGCTGCAGTCACGGGCTGTCAAACAAATATTTGTTAATTCACGTAAACATTTGTTAATTAAAAAATATATGTTTGAATAAATGATGCATGTTTAATTGAAAGACATTTGAATTACAGAAATACTGTCAACTAAATATATATTCAGTAACATCAACAATTTTTTTCTCAGTGCAGTCTCAAAGAAACGAAATTTTGGTTAAGGTACAGAAATAATTTCTGTGAAATTAAATAAAAGTCTAGTAGGGTCAAATAGGTTCAAACAAATTTGTCCGATTCTAAACAAACCGAAGTCCTCGGATTTTAGTGCCCTTAAAAAAAACTCGCGTTCTCTAAATTAGTTGTTCAACCGGGCAAATGGTGCTCGTTCATCTAACAACGAGACGCGTTAATTAGCTATTGTTAATTTGGCGCGCCGATAACGATTAGCAACGACGGGAAATATAAATAGCGAAAGATTGCCCGCGTTTCAAAAGACGCGCTATTCGTCCGTGCGACGACAATGGCAGATAGACAGGGACACGTCTCTTCCGCTGTCTCCGTCGAGTTTTCGCATGACGGAAACGCGCCGGGCGATAAGTGCAGGTCGAGATCACGGTTAAAGACCTGAATCGACGCACGTTATGACGATCTTTTACCTTTCTATTGATTCCTCGCTCGTGGATCACGCATCTGCGATGTGTCCTCATGTGTCCCGAAGCGACACGTGAGGGATTACCACGGCGAACAGCCGTTTCTTCCGTTCTGCTCGGGAATTGCGGCGCGTGACACACCTTCATAACGTCAATAATAATAATAATGGCCTGTACGAGCGACGACCGGAAATATTTTGTAATTACCCGCGATATTTTTCGCGCCGCTCTCGCCGAACGAGTAACGAGTCGGCGGGCCGTTTCGCTACGTCATACGTTCGATAATCCGCGAAGCCATTAGAATTTGCGCGGAAACTCGCGCAAATATGAACATCAATCTCCCATAATTTACAATATTATTTACGCGCGGGAACGTTAACAACCTGCTGTCGACATTCCAGCCGGAGTTTCATTAATAATAAAATAACAACAGATGTTACAATCCATTTGAAACGTTATTTGCTTATTTCATTATCGTGAGAATGTTAATTCTGAACACCGCCTTGACGTAGTCACCACCGGTGAGCGAACGTAACGTTTACTGTAACGTTGAGGATCATGTAACGGAGATTTTCCGTGCAGCTTTTGCATCGGGATTAAACGGAAACCTGTACGAGTGTAAAGATCGCGGGTAAAAGGGAATTCACGCCGAGAGGCGACGCGAAATCATTTTGCGCTTAACGCGAGTGCCGCGTATCGCGTTAATCGCTTTTCAGAAGCGTGTTTCCGCGAATGGTACTAATATTAGCGGCGGTCGTTACGGGCCGCGCGCCCTAGATGTGCTGCAATTAAATGACGAGATTTTTCTCGTACCTTAGCGACGAACGGCGACACGTCGCGTTTAGGGCCGGACGATATTATTATTAGGCGTGCTCGGCCGTCGATGTCGGCAAATATTAGCTCTCAAAGGAGGGTGGCCACGAGGTTGCCGCGACGATTAATGGCGAGCGAGGAGGAACAAGTGCGCGATTACGCGATCATCTTAATGGATAAGCCCATCGGTCAGTCGTGTGCCGAAGATCGCGCGACTATCGATCGGCATCCACTCGATCTCGCACCCACAGAAAAAATTTCCGGATCCAATGCTATTACACTTGAATATATCATAAAAATAGGATCGATATAGCGCCAATCATATTTATTATAGAGAAAGGAATACTTTAATTTTAAGGTGGCTCCTGCATAAACCGACCAAAAGTAGAAAAAATTGAAATTTAAGTATATTGTAGTTGTAAATTTTATTCTGTCAGTACGCGAAATTTCAGACCCGATTGACGATACAATAAAATAAAGAAAAAAGGTTAAAGTTGTATTTTTTAACATTCCAGTAAACACCAAATAACAGTTAGATAATATCAGTATTATAATTTCCTACTCAACAAGATAAATGTAATATAATGATAGTATGTCTCGTCTTTTGTCGAATATCGCGGTGCAAATTTCGTGCGTTGTAAGATGGAGGGAAAATTTATTCTAAACGCAAGAATACATAAACTTACATTTATATCAGTTACTCTTGTTCCGATATAGTAAGTCACTCTTTTTCAATTCGATAGAGAAGAATAAGAATTATTGATAAAAGAACATGGCTTTGACGAATAAAAAATCAATGAATAAAAGAGCTAAAAGCCTTGGCCAGGTGTTAGTGTCACAATGATAAAAGTTCAGTTTATTTACAACATGAACAAACCACAAACGTTTCGCACGGAAAGAACAATGTAGCTGCTGTAGCTAAAACTTAGCAAAATAGGGACAGGTAATATTTTTAGTTGTGATAGCTCAATATTTTGCTACGACAGCAAACCGTTTGCTGTCGCGCCTAATACAATAGGCACAGTAGCAAAATATTGAGCTATCACAACTAAAATATTAGCTGTTCCTATTTTGCTAAGTTTTAGCTACAGCAGCTATATTGTTTTTTCCGTGCGGTCTTTCTTTAGACCATCCTCAGTGTATAAAAGGAACAAGAAATAAAAGGCATTGAATTAAATCTAAAAGTCAATAGTTTAAATTCGCTCGCAACGCATTACAAGAATTATTGCTTTTATTTTGATATTGTCTTATTTATCGACTAAATGAGATTGTGAGAAATATAAATGCGTCAAGAATATTTTTTTGTCTCGGTAACAGAAATCCTTTCTGAGGGTGCGAGTATCGGGTGTCTTATCTCACGGAATACCGTCGTATTTGACGGAAGATATCGCGGCGTTTCAATAGGATAGCGCACGGTTAAGAAAAATGTTACTGCTGTAGCTAAACACCGCATGTGTCAACTACATTTCAGTTGTAAAATATAGACAGATAATATTCAGTTGCGTTAGCTAAATATTTTGCAAGCGTGCCTATTGTATTAGGTGCGACAGCAAACCATTTACTGTGGTTTAAAAATATAGAGCTATGGCAACAAAATGTTTTTAGCAAATTCATGATTAGCTACGGTAGCGAAAATACTTTTTTCAGTGCGACATTCAATTTGACATCCAGATAGCATGCACGGAGAGAATTTTCTTTTAAAACGTAATCGTGGGACAACGCGGCATGTTGAGCAGGTTTATGAGAGTTTTTGGAAATTTTACCATACATTTTCTCAGTAAA